TCTTTCTCTCTTTCCCTCTCTCTCTCTCTTTGCCTTTGTCTATGGTTTCCTCTCTCGCTCTCTCTCTCTCTGTCACGCTCATTTGCAGCAACCAAAGTGTTGCCTGCTGGCTCCCATGACATGTGAAGGAGTCAAGGTGTATGTCTGTCCCACTGTCCCTCTGTCCCACTGTCTGTGTGGCAAAGTGTGAAGTTTTCTCTCTGTGTAGAGACGGGGCATGTGTGTGAGTGCATTTATAAGTGATATGCAGAGCATGCAATTAACAAGAGCAAATTCACTCGGCCAAAAGACAGCAGGGAGTCTTCTGCAGCTACTGACTGCCACATTCTCTTGGGTCTTGCCACTTGCCACTGCTCCTATCGTGTGGTGGGTGCTCGCAGGGTTCTCATGTTTCCCCCCACAAAACCAAATTCCCACCCGCAGCCCCTCCCTCTTTGGCCCCCTGGCTGGCTGGCTGACACTGGCTTCCCTTTGTCTTGTCATTGTTTCCATTTTAATATAATTCTCACGTCATAATTGCGTATGGACTCCGCTCCCATGCTTCCCCCCATCCCATGTGCTGCAAGGTGTTGCCGAAGACTTTTACCACCACCACCCCCCGTCTAAAACTATGGCCAGAATGCAAAGCGAATGAATCTCGTCTGTCCCAGAGTCCATGTCCGTGTGTGTGTGCTGAGAATTTCTTGGCCAAAAGACAACAATGCCATAGACCAACACACACCAAAAGATAAGCAGAAGAAGCAGAAGCAGCAGAGACAGCGCATTGGAGATAAAGACTCAGAGAGAGAGAGAGAGATGGCAACAGGAACACCAACAGATAAAGACAGCAACAGACGACAGACAGCAGACAGCCAGAGGCCGTTGACCAAATGTTCTAGAAATGTATGAAGAAAGTTTTTGCAAATATCAAAATGGAATTCAATTGTTTTCAAGCGTCTGCAAATCCATCCTTAAATATTGATCAGAGAATTTTGCAAAGAAATCGGAAATTTAAGCAGAGATTTGCAATAGGAATCGGATTGCACTTAAACTGCATTTAATTTAATTTATAATGAATTTCTTTGAAATTTGTCTGGCACTACAAAATTCTCATAAATAGTTGGGAATGATTTCAGAACTAATACATTATTTATTTGGCAGAGCCTTTTAGTTCTGAAATCATTCGCAACTATTTATGAGAATTTTTGTAATTCCAGAAAAATTTCAGAAAATCGATAAATAAATAAAAAAATAAAATAAATATAAAAAATATATTAACTTTACTTTCCTTCTATATAAAATATATATTCACTTTCTTTACTTAGCTAGAAGATTAAATATATATTTTTGCTATGATTTCCGACAAAAATAGCTACCAAACTTCACCCAATTACAACCTTTCCAAACAAAAGTAAAATAAAGTGAATACTTAATATTAAAAACTGGAACCGGAACCGAAACCCATTCATAGATATGTATAGATCAATGAATTTAACTACAAGCTAAGAGGAAGCCATTTTCCCTTCTCTTCTTTTTTTTTCTGCACGAAACTTCCTTCTGCTGTTTACTGTTTGCGAACCCCAAACCCAAGTCTTTTCTTTGAGCAAATCTCGCAAGTTAATATGGAAATTTGTACATTAAATGCTGAACAGTAAGAGAAAAACTTGACCCTAGAACTCCCATCCATCCATTAGCTTTCACTTAAAAGAAAAGTTGTGTACTTTTGACCCTCGCTCAAAGCGGAAATTGAATTTTTCTGCAAGCCTTTTTTTCCTATGGGAATGTTGGTGCACCCTTCTTCCTCCATCTCCATTTCTCAAAGTTCCTGTGTCCTGTCTGCCATATTATTTTTAATTTCTAGCAATTATAAGAAATTATTCTTTTAGCTACAATTTTTCTTTCGCGTTTCCTTTTCGTTTTCTTGCGATAGTATATTCCTCTTTCTTTAATTATAATTTAATTAGTTGCAAGTTGCTGCTGTTGCCACCGCTGTTGCTGTTGCCACTGCCACTGCCACTGCTGCTGCTGCTGCTGCTGCCGCCTTTTCGCCTCATTAATTGCACTTAACAATTCGTGAATTCTTAATGTCAGAGTCGCCAAAAAGAGGAGACGGCGTAGCACAGAGAAATGAAGAGGCAGAGAAGCAGAGAGGCAGAGAAGCAGAGCAGCAGGGAAAGACAGAGCAGCAGCTGAAAAAAGACGCCAGAAAATCAGAGAAAGTGCAGGAGCAAAAGAATTTTAAGAACCAATGACATTTCCCTACTTAAATGTTTCAATTAATAAGAAATTGAAAGTGAAATGGCATTGCAAATTTAATGGTTTTAATTATCAGGAAAAGAGCACAGATCACCACCTCAAGTTAAGCATTTTAAGTGTCAAAATTGATAAGAAATGGATAATGGAGCCCCTTAAAATGTTGCCCTTAAAAGTCTTTAGCTGAAAAGAAATTTATATATTTATGTGGGACAGAGCACAGTAACCAAGAAATAGGCAATGATTTATAAGAAATTGATTTTTTAAATACACTAATCTTAGAAAATTGGCATTAAAATGTCTTAGTATAATATTTGCAGCCAAAATGACTTATGGCTAAGTCCTGTTCTTGGAAATGCAAATATTCAATGCAATTTGACATTTAAATGTCGAAATCTATGAGAGAATTCAGAATCTTATGCACACAGATCAATGAAAATTCACGTTTAAATGCCTTAAGTGCCAATAACCAAAGACATTTAATATTAAAAAGTCTTTCAAGCACAAGATGTTTGATATTTGTAGGCTGCGAAATTATGGGAAATGATGGGAAATGTCTAAGAAATGAACACTGATATTCTGACATTAAAATGTCTTTTAATGTGCAAGAAATTGATATACTTGAATGTATTTGCATTTGCTAAATATTTGCACAAAATATTCATGAAGGATAAGTCAGTGGAACAGCAGCAGACAGACAGACAGACAGATAGTTAGTCCTTGGGTGCAACATCTGGCAATTTGCCTAAGTGCAACCAAGTGTCGACCTTTCTCTCGCTCTCTGCCCTCTCTCTCTCTGTCCACGTCTCTCTATCTTAAGTTTTTAATTAGAAACGCATCCTGCGAAAATGGACAGCCCTAACTCTTCCGCCCTTTCCTTCGTTCGTCTGTCGTCTGCCGCCTCAGTAAGCAGTCAAGTGAAATGAGCAAAAGAAATGCGTTGACAACCTCTGCTCTCGGCCAAAAAGCTTCTACGAAAAGTAACTTTAATGCCAGACAGAGAGAGAGAGAGAGAGACAGCCGACAGACAGAGAAAGATACGGGAAAGGGAAATGGGCACAGAACCCGAAAAAGAAACAAACTTTTGACATAAATTCCACGCGAAAAATCAAAAAAAAAAAGAAGAAGAAGAAGGAAACTCGAAAAATGAAAACTGATGCGCTCTGCCAGAGTTGCCACCTACTGACGTGTGATCCGAGGGCCTAGAATTTCGTGGGTGAACCACCGTCAGAGGGGAGGGGGGAGCCTTCAGACGACTGCCAAATTAATTTTAATGTGATTTTCATGCGATTTTCATGAGATTTTCATGACTGTTGCAACTTTTTGGGATTTTAACGATTATTGAAGCTAATGCAAATGCAGAGAGAAAGTCTCTGTCTCTTTCTCTGCCTCTGTCTCTCCTCTGTCTATCAATTGAGAGAACAATCTATAAAGAACCCAGACAGAGACCAGAGACCCACGGCAGAACACCCCCCCCTAGTCCAACAATTTATGGTCTCTCGAAACACTTTTTTGGCTCCCTCTCCTTTTTTTTTTTTTTCTTCTGTTGGAGTGGCTTAAACGCCGACTCATGCATATTTGATGCCAAATATAAAGCGGCTATAAATTCTACTTGAAATTTACGCACCAAAGTAAGAGTAATGCGTTAAGAGAAGGGTCCTGCGAGTGTTCCAGTGGCAGGCCCAGGTCCCTGTCCCTGTATCGCGGTACGTAAAGGTGCTGACTGTCTGCCTCTGCGCCCAAAGGTAGGCAATGGAACTTGGATAAAAAACTTTGTCGTTTGTCCTTTAGGGTTTTCAGTGTGTGTGTGTGTGGATGTTTGAAATGAACTGAAGGACAGTTACACTTGCCTTTCCTTAAGCATATGAAAAAGTTACTCGAAATTGTTTTCCCTTTGCCTTTTCCAGCGCTTGCCTTGAGGCATTAAACTCGCCTTGAGGGCTCCCACACATAATGCTTTATTAAGAATTAAACACAACAATTTTTTGTCCTTTTAAACCGATTTTTCTTTTGTTTTTCTTTGAAGCAGCAAAAGAATGACAAAAAAAAAAAAAACACGAGCAACAGCTGATGAAAATTTCATGGAAATTGGAAAGGTTCTTATGTCCGTCGGTTGAGTTTTGTGTTGTGGGTTATTCTTTTTTGATGGGTGTCGAGAGGGGGGTTTTTTTTTTTGGTGCAGCGTTTGATGAACTTAAAAGTTATGATTTGTTGGATGGTTTTTGGAATTACAGTAATATATTTTTTATATGTATAAAAAGTTATGCTTTTAGCGTTTTTGGTCAAGCATATTTTGGGGAATTTTAAATTAGGTGATGAGAAATTAAAAAGGTGTCATTTCAGGGTAGAATAAACTTGTGGGAAATGTGTAAAAAACACATACAAAAATTATGAGCAATATGTGGGGAATATATTGAATGTATTTTAGTATGAATATGAGATTTTTTTTAATGAAGCGAAACTTAAGCGAGAAATGTTTTGGAAATTATAGAAAAAATAATTAGATTTAATTTTGGGATTGTTTCAGTTTAAGTTTAACTTAAATTAAATATGTTTATCCAATGAAATGTCATGGCTATGAGCTATGAGAAAATCTGTTAAAGTTGGGTAATTTTTTCTTATAATTTTTACCCCAACAAAATGCCTTGAAAAGTGCTTGAATTATCTAAAGTGTAAAACTCACAGCTTTTGTATCATTATTATACCCAAATATCTCTCCCTAAAATCTATTATATTAATCCTAAATTCTCTCTTCTTCTCTCTTACAGTTCTGTTAGCGTTGAGCTCCACGATCCTCGCCGACGAGTCCATCGACACACGTGAGAATGCGGATCTGACGCTCAAGTGTCGCTTCACGGACAAATACGAATCGAATGATTTCTCATTCTTTTGGACACGCTGGACAGCGAATCCGGCACAATTTGATAATGTGGCCATCGGTGAAGTTCAATTGAGTTCCGGCTATAGGTGAGTAAAATGCCCCGTAGATAAGTTTAACAAATGATTTAAATGGGCAGGGCTGCCTAGGGATGTGTGTGTGTGTGTGTGTGTGTGTGTGTGTGTGGCAAAAGTCTAGCCATAAAGTGGTTGCCTTTTATGGGGCATGCCATGTGCCATAAACTGTAACGACGACAGCCCATGCGGACATTAACAGTTAGAGCTCTCTCTCCCAGGGTGGTGCGGTGCAGGGTACAGCTTATCCTCGCCACAGCCGCAGACAGAGACCAGAGTTGCCACAGAGCCATTTGCTAAGTTAATTAAATGTTTCACACTCCCTTACCCCCTCTCTCTCTCTCTCTCTCTCTCTCTCTCTCTCTGTCTGTCTCACCTTTCCTATAATGCGATTTATGCATGGCGACAGCGACTGACTGAACTGCCAACTTAATTAAAATCAAGTTCTTGGCAATTTAAACAAAATGCCAAAGCAGCCACAGGAGGCCAAAGCAGCAAACGTCCGAACTTGATCGAATATTAAAACCGTGATTTCTGCAGAGAGAGGAGAGACAGACGACAAAAAGCGTGACACGAGGGCACAGAAAAAAGAGTGATTTCAATATGAGTGGAGGGGAGTGTGAAATGAATGCAGTTATAAAATAAAGGGTACAGGGAAGAGAGAATAAAAATAAAAAATATATGAAAAATAAAAATAAATAAAATAAAAACTTTTTATTAATTTGGACCCAATTTTTTTATGAAATTTTTTTTTTTTTATGCAAAGCGTTTTTAGAATTATTAAATCAGTTTTATTAGATTTTCCTTGTCTTAAGCCACTTTTCCTGCAATGAAAATTAAAATTTTTCCATTTCCCATTGTTCATTGCATTTCGTGCTTTAATCACGCCTCACGCCCGTCTCACGCTGCCATCTCTGGGTAGCGTTTGGGTGTCCCTTTAATCCTTAATGTCAACGCCGCGTGTTGCATGTTCAGACAATTATGAGGCACCACACACACACACCACATTCACACTCTCTCTCCCCCCCGCCGCTATAAGTATAAAGCTCATGCACACACTCTACCCCATCAGTATGTGCACAGTCAGTCAGTCGCTGGCTCACATATGCTGCCTTCTCTGCTGCCTATTGGTGTTGGCCGTGTTTATGTTTCATTTTCATTACCTACCCGTCGTCGTCGTCGTCGACGCCCCACAAATGTTTTCAATTGTATTTTTATTTGCTTGGTGCCTTCGACTTCCGTTTCCTGTCGCTCGCCAGTTGGGCCGTTGGCCCGTTTGCCCGCTGAGGCTCAGCTTTTTAATGCCGCCTCGGCCATTGCCTGCCATTGCCTGCCACTGTTGTTTGTTGCTGGCGCTGCTGCACGGGTTTCTTTATGTGGCAACGCATAAATTTTAAGTGCCACACACTCACTGTACACTGCGGCGGCGGCCACAAAATGCAGCGGCAGCGTCGCGCGTCACCCGTCGCCCGTTTGCTGCCATCCGTTTCGTTTCGTTTCATTTGGTTTTTGGTTTTCGACTGCTCCCTACCTACTCCATCCTTTGCTGGCCACAAGCCAGGAGCCCCCTCTTTCTCTCCCTCTCTCTCTCTCTTCTATATCCTATATATGGGATATTTGTGCCATTGGTAGGTGGATATTTTTGGGGGCTGTGAAATAAAAGCAAATCAACAAACAACAAATGCGAAAAAAATAAGGCAAGGATGAGAGGTAGCCGGAGGAGGTATTAGAGCAGCAACCAGCTGAGGCGCCACAGAGCAGTTCTTAGGGGGGAGGTCCTTCAGCAGAAGGAGCCACCGAAATCGCAGCTTTTGCGGCTGGAACCGCCTGAAAGTGTAAAATATTTATATATATTTTTTTTGCTGCAGAATTTTTGCCGAAAGCCAAACACAAACACACACAAGAAAAGGAAAACCAATGCGAAACAAGCAGCAGAACAAGGCTCAAGGAGAAGGACACACCCCTTCCCCATCCCCCTCCTTGCTCGCTCTCCCTCTTTTTCTAAGACTCTGCGAAATTATCTCTATCTGTGGGTCCCTACTTTCCTCTAAGACCAGCTCCCAGCTCCCATGGATACCCTCTAAGGCAGGGGTTCCTACTTCTCTACATCTTCCTCCCTGGAACTTCCTCTATCTCTGCCTGTGTCTCTCTCTGTCTCTTCTCTATATATCCTGTGTCCCATCTGTGTTATAGCAAAAGTGAAATTACTGCAAATTTGTTGGCCAAAAATGAGAAAAAAAGAGGGTGAAAAAAACCAAACCAAAAACGAGAAATTACATTTTTTTGCGTTCTTTTTTGGGCCAAAATGTCGCGACAGAGAGGGGATCGAAAGTGGGCCAAAAGACAGGGACAGGAGTCACAAATAAAGAGACAGCAAAGTGAGGGCAAAAAATAGTACGAGAGAGAGAGGGGAAGAGGCGGCAGACACACAACAATTCTCATGGCTAATATTTCGTTGGAACATTTAATTTAACGAGACATCAGGGGAATGGAATGTGTGTGCTGCTGCTGCTCCTGTATGTAGAGATTGAGAAACAATGAGCGAGAAGTCAACGCAACGACAATTTTCGAGTTTCTCCCTCTCTCTATCTCTTTCTGTGTTTCCTGCTACCTCGCTTGAGTGTGTCTCTTTCTGGCTGTCTTGCCACTCGAGTGCGGAATTTCACTTCAGTGCCAGAGGGCGGGCGGGTGGCTGGGTACAAATATTCGATTGCATACTTAAGGGGCTGCTGAAAATCGTGTTTAGATCATTTGGCTAAATGTTATACCAATAAACAGACATTAAGGAGTGGCAGAAATCTGATAAAATAAAGAGAATTTGTTGCACGAGGAGAAATGGAAGAGAAATCCAATAGGGGCAGGAGACGTTGCGTTGAAAGGAAGAGAAGAAATCTGTTGAGAGTTTGAAGGAGAAATACGATGCGAGATAGGAGGCGGGGAGACTCCAGAATTCTCTTAAATATTTCTTAAGAAATGCTGAAGATTTCTTAAAATTTTATTTTTCAGTTAAAGGAAAAATGTTGTTGAATTTGAAGCTACAGAAATTTGGGGGTAATTCAATTGACCTCTCTGGACCACTGCTCTGACTTTGGAAGGTCTTTTCGACCAAAAATGTATTATCAAAGAAAATATATAGATATAGATTTGTTATTCCTTATACCGATTCCTTTGATGTGCCGTTCTTTGATCAACATTCCCCTCATAGACATATATGTATTTTGCTTGCCCTTGGGCGCATTTCCATCTTCAATCTCGTATATAAATTTCCTACCCTTCAGATATTCATGGGGACTGCTCCCCAAACCATCGAATGATTCGTTCATTTGATTAAAACTTTTTGCTCCAAAGGTCGGTCGGCTGGTATATTTATCCATTATTTAATATCCATATTCCTCTCTTTACTTTTTATTTCTGCTCTCTCTGCTGCTCCTTTGTCTCCCCATTAAATATCCTTATTCTGATACCCAAAGCAATGTTTCTTTTAGCCCCAAGGAATCTCCTTGTGTTTCTGTTTCTTCTTATCCGAAATAATTGGCGGCCGTTTAAGGACCAGTCTCCACCTCTGTCCAAAAAAAAAAAAACACAACTAAAATTTTCTTCTTTTTTTTTGCAAAGAAAATCGCGAATTGAGGACAACAACGAATCACAAATTGCAGAGAAATAGCCAGGAGGGGAGAAAGCGGTGGCACGGGACGGGACCTTCTTTGGATAAACTTGAAAATTGCAACAACATGGCAGGGCCAGGGGGCACGCAGCCAGCCTCCCCCCCCCCTGATTGTCCCTTGAGGCAGCTTTCGGGGGGCTTTCTCTTATCCTCCCTGGAGTCGTATATATTTTTTTTTAATATATTTTTTTTTTTTGGTTAGCTCTCAAGGACGCGCGCTACCCGCCTGCTGCGATGTCCTGTGCGCTTCTTCTTTGCTGATTTTCTCTCTCAATTTTTTTTTGTATAATTTAAAGCGCTTTTCATTTTTCCGCCATCGTAGCGGGAGGGTGGTGGGGTGTGTCCCCAGAGCGCGGACGATGACTGCGCTTTGCCAGCAGTTTTTATAATTTGCACTTTTTGTTGTAGCTAGAGGGGGTAGCAGAGGCACGTGTCCTGCCACTGGATGCTGCTGGTGTTCTCCTCTGCACCGATGTTGGCGGGGAGCTCCTCCCCGCCGTTCTCTGCCGCTGCCTTTGGTTTGCTCTCCTCTGTCTCGCTCTCTCTGTGGGCCCCAGCTGCAAATGAGCAAGTCGCCAGAGACGTGGCCCCAAAAAGGGAACTAAAGGGGCGAAGTGGCACAACAGCAAATATGACATGAAAGGAAGGACTAGTTTTTGAGTATACGAAGCATTAGGTAGGATACCCTTAGCGGTAGATGAGTATGAAATAATTATCGGAATTTACTGAGCAGATTTCCAGTCTGTAATTTTAATCTGTACCGCAATTAATTCCAACAATTTCTGCCAAGGTTTCAGAATACTTTTTGCCTATAAAGATCATCCGAAATAGTCGATGAAGATTTTTATTTTAACTTTTTATAACTTTTTTTATTTGATTTAATTAATGAAGAAATTTTTTTGAACCAATTTCAAATCCCTGTTAAGGTTCATCATATCCCCTCTGTTAGAGGGTATCGAAAAAATAATACAAAAAAATGCAACTAGACAAGGACAACCCAGAAAGAATCGCAGAGTAGCGAAGAGAATGAAGAACAGTGTATGAAGAGTGGTAAGGGGTGCAGGAGAGGGGCTGTCTGTGGAGACTTCAGTCAATTTGCTGCCCTGGCTTTTGCTCTGTGTCGCTCTTCCTCTGCCTCTCCCTTTTTCCTAGTCTTCTCTTTCTTTTCTCTTCTTTTTTGTGAATTGTCTGAATTTTATTTCGAGAGAGAGAGAGATTTTTTTCAATAGCAAATGTCCAGCAGTTGGTGCTGCTGCTTCGACTGCTGGTGCTGCTGCTACTGCTGCTGCTTCTGCTGCGGTTTGCTGCTTTTGGCAAATTAAATTTTGTTCGCTGCTGCGTATTGTTGCTGCTGCTGTTGCTTTTTTTTCACGGCAATTAGCACAGGGAAAACAGGAGGAGAACCAGTAGGAGGGAGCAAAGCAAGGGAATGTCCTCCCTTTTTGGCCCCAGTTAATCAGTCGCACAGTTTCTGTTGACCGCAGCTCCTCCTGTTTTTTCCCCTCCTCTGCAGCTCCTCCTGTTTTTTCCCCTCCTCTGCAGCTCCTCCTGTTTAGCTCCTCTATTAACGCCCTTGAGCTGTCGTCCAATTAGAATCATAAAAATTGTCTAGACCGTACAAATAAATGCAGAAGACGAAGCAGGGGCCAGGGAACTGGAACTGAAGTCGTCTCAGCCTTAAATGAAGAGGAGAGCGCGCTCAAGATGAGAACCAATTTCGGGCCGCAGTCCGTCAGTCAGGCTTGACAAATGAACTTGTGAAAACTGTGTAGGAGCTGGCAGGAGGAGGATGGAATGGGAATACCCCATCTTGTTGGCCAATCTAATAAACTGCTGACTGACCAGCGTGGAAAGGAGGAGGGTGGTGGGTGGAGGGTGGAGGGACGAGCCGGTGGAGAGACAGCGAAGCGCATTCGGGCGAGCATCAATTTTCAGTAGTTGTCCAGGACAACGATGCTGACGAGACGACGACAAAATAATCATCAGCATCATTCTATTGAGAAATTGTAAAAAATCGCAGGCAAGCAAAAAAAAAAAAAAACAAAAGCAAAACCATCCCCCCCCAAAAAAAAAAAAAAAATAGAAAAAAAACTCTCAGCACCAAAAGTGGCCTTGAAATATTAAGACATTGACAAAATGAAGCAAGGGAACTGAACTGAAACAGAACCAAAACCCAAAGCCAAAACCAGGACCAGGACGAAACGCAGACGAAGAGAAATGACTGTCTCGGCCAGAAGCCAACAGCAGAAAATTGACAAACTTGTGCCAGCAGGCCACAGGCTTCAGCTCCAACCACCCAACCACCAGCCTCTCCAGCCACCAGCCTCAGTCAGCTACAGCTCTAGTGCCAGGTCTCCGCCTCCGCCTCATCCACAGCCGCCTGAAGCCTCATGCCACTGACTGACATTCTTCCTCGTTGATGATAGATGAAAGACGAGCAATTTCTAGAGATATTGAATATGGAGCTAAAGACGTGATTTGGCTTAAAGATGTGCGTGGGATGTGATGCTCATGGAAAGTGGCGGATAGTGAATTGGTTTGACAGAGAAAAAAAAAGTCTTGTAGCTTGAGGGAATGTAAGGAAGTTACAAGTTGCATGAAAGTTGCTGGAACAAAAGCAGGAGGAAATTTATGCCTGAACAATCGCTGGCATTTACGTATTAACAACGATATTTGATGGATATTTTGATTAAGTAATTTGTAAAATTCATAAATACCTATCAAGTGATACCATCTCACCTACATAATTTTTATTTTTCTATTTTAAACTTTAAATCTTAAAATTTAAATTTATTCCATGCAACGCACCGAAAATTGCATTTAAATAAATAAAATAAATTTCCATAAATTCTCTTGCGATAAATTCAGAGTTTCTGGCAAACAAATGTTGTCTTCTCTTCATCGCTTAAGCCATTAAATCAAAAATTGTCGCACACACACAGAAAAATGATGAGTAAATAAATTCAATTGAGAAGAATATAAATATATCCCTGACATCTTTCATATTTCACATTTTGTATATTTCCACGGCAAATACTTCGATAAATGTCTCACCATTTCGTTTGCTTGTTTGCTTACCAAAGTTTATTTATTTATTGATTTAAACAAACATTCAAAGCACAAAACTAACGAATCAAATCAACTCTTTGTGCCCGCTCGCTCTCTGGATACAAATTCTTTTACCAAACGAAATGTTCGATTTTCCAATTAAAACATTTTTGCAATTAATTTGGCTTGGCCTGTCTGTCGAGTGTGGAGTGTTGCCAGGGTTGGGGTAGGCTGACTGGTGTTGCTAAAGCAATTACCTTGAAAAGAACTCCTCAGGAGAGCTCCTAATAGTCCAGCAAATAACAATAAGCAAAATAACACACACAGACTCCTCGGGTGTCAAATCTCGGTGTATTTTTGTGAAAATTTCTACACTCGCTTACAGCAGGGTATAATCATTGAATGTTTGAAACAAAAATTTACAAATTTATCTTAAATACAGAAAAATATTACAACAAAATTAATTTTTTTATTTTTATTTATTATTTTATTAATTTCGAATTATAAAAAAAAAAACGATTCGGATAAATGTTGGGTTACTGAAATATTATCAAAATCAAATCACATATTTTAGTGCATCTATAGCTTCGGTTCGTGAAATAATTCTTCCTTCATTTCTTATATTTTTTGGTTGTTTCTATTTACCTTTCACTTGGCTGACGCCTGCGTCTGAGGGCGTCATCTTATTGGAAAGTTGTCTAGGAAAATTGTTGCAAACATTTATTTATTCGAACGTTGATTTTATTTATGTTGTTACACAGAGCCCCACGAGAGCTACTGCCTCCTGCCTCCTGGCCCTGTGTGCTCTGTGTCCTCTCCAGTTTCTCTGTGCTCGTCAAATATTAGCATTTTGTATTTATTTATATTCGGGCGAACGTTTAAAGTTTGGCCACCTGCGGGCAGCAGCAGCAGCAGCGGGAAGTGGATGCCACACCGTCGCAGCGAGAGGAGCCTCGAGGCAGGACACAGTGTGGGGCAAACTCAATATTAGCACAATTAGTGATTGGTTACCCAAAGGAAGAAAAGACGACTCCGGGGAACTTTTCAAATAAAAATAAGTTGATTTCTGACAGCGTGCGTGTTGTGGGGGGTGGGTGTGTCCCACACTGCAGATTGATTGATTCTCCATTAACCTTTGAACTGTTTAATGTTTCTTTTTGTGCCCAATTTGATTTGTTCTTTTTTGCATGCATTTCAGACTCGACTTTCAACCGGAGCGCGGCATCTACGATCTGCAGATCAAGAATGTCTCATACAATCGCGACAATGGACGCTTCGAGTGCCGCATCAAGGCCAAGGGCACGGGCGCGGATGTCCATCAGGAGTTCCACAATCTCACGGTGCTTACGCCACCCCATCCGCCTGTGATCTCGCCCGGCAATATTGCCGTGGCCACCGAGGATAAGCCCATGGAGCTGACATGCAGCAGTATTGGTGGCTCCCCCGATCCCACCATAACGTGAGTGAATTTTTCTTTAACATTGATTAAATTTTTAATATTAATAATAATAGGTATTAATAAAATAAACAAAAAAAAATTTATAAAATATAAAAATAATATTAATAAAATATAAAAGTAAAAAAATATTAATATAAAATTAATATTACTGATATTTTGTACTAAATTTAATCGATATAATCGAGCCTTAATTTTTGTCATTCTTATTATCATTTCCATAATTCTAGTTTATCTTATCTAATTTTAAATATATACAAAAACAAATTTAAAAAAAAAATGGGAACTAATATTTTGTTTAATTTCCTTTGCTAGTTGGTATCGCGAGGGCTCCAACTCTCCCCTGCCCGCCACTGTGCTGCGCGGCGGCACCAAGGATCAGCCCACCAATTCCACACTGACGGTCACACCACGCCGCGAGGACGATGGCGCCAAGTACAAGTGTGTTGTAAGGAATCGCGCCATGAATGAGGGCAAACGACTGGAGTCCACTGCTACGCTGAATGTTAACTGTGAGTAGAAGATTTCTTATTATTTAAATATTGAAAGGGCTGGCTGTATCTTTGGGCATAATCAGATGAGGAAGCAGATGAAATAAGAGTTGACTGGGAGTTGGAATCATGGCATTGGGTAGGGAGGATATTTCTTTGCCTTTCTTAACGTCTTCTGTGACAAAAAGCCACACCGAAAGGCGAGTGCGGGTGTGCTGCCTGCCCTGCCCTTCCCTTAATTGAAGTACCAACCCTGGATCTGCATTGTCCATGCTAATCCCACGCCATTCATTAATTACGTACAGAATCCACTTGAGCAGCATTAATAATTTCCTGCACTCGCTCGAATAAAAATATTCACATAAATTAGTGCCCTGTTTTGGCTCTCATGGGAGTGTGACCAGTGACCAGTGACCAGTGACCCGTGCGGATGTCTGTCTGGGGCGGGGCTGCCTTCGAGTTGACCTTCTGCCTTCGTCTCCTTCGTTTGGGGATCACATTGGGGGGGGAGATCGCTTAATTAGCATGTTGCACAGCAATTACCAGTGCAACTGCAGCAGCAGCAGAGCAGTTAGCAGCAGCAGCCAGCAACTATTTGCATAATGAAGCAGGGCAGGGGGCAGACTGGGGACATGGACATTCATTTATTCAACACAAAATGTACAATGGGACAACACTTAACCCTGTTGTATATCCCTTCTAAATGCGCTGACACATTTCGTTTAAATGTGGCATTGGTGGCTGTGTGGCATGGTGGCATGCTGGCATGCTGGCTGGGCCACATTTAGATGCAACAACAATCATTTTGTATAATCGCATATATCTTTTTTAAAAAGCTAACACAAAGCCCCAACACACATAAATTACAAATGCCTCTGACCGACCTGCTGCTGCTGCTGCTGCTGCTGCTGCTCAACCTCCAAGTAATTAGAATAGAAATTTATGTGCCACACTGCTCTCTGTAGCTGTAACTAGTTGTTGTGTTGTAGTTGTTGTTGCAACAAGTGGCAAAGGCAGTGGGCAGTGGCAGTGGCCGTGTGACCTGTTAACGTTGGGCTATTAGGGCTAATCAAAAGGCAAATAAAGTGAAATATTGCCACTATACCACTACTACCACTACCCTTCCGTCTGTTCGTCTGCTGTGCAGGCAATCGACTCGAATTGAGGCCCAAGAGCCCCCCTAGCCCGCCCCAGCCCCCATCCACAAGCTCAACTTTTGCACACCTCCACACCTATATCCATAGTCCCCCCTCCATACCCACCCACCCTAAAGCCATGGCTGTAGTTGCTCTTTGGCTATCAAATGTGTAATTAATTCAAAAACAACACACACACACACACACACACACATGCGGGGCTGCAGTGCAGTAATAGCTGTGTGTGTGGCAGTGGCAGAGGGGCAGATACTTGAGAGTGGGTTTTGCCCTGAACCAGAATCGGAGCCAAATCCAGAGCCAGAACCCACGCTAATTGCATTTTGCATGCCAAGAAAGACGACTGGGACTGGGAGAGGGAGATTTAAAGTTATAGTAGGAAAATTGTGAAACTAAATTATAAATATATAAGCCAAGAATATTTGATTCTGGGTAGCAGGAAAAAGGGAGTGCAGAATATATTCATTTAACATTATATTTATGGGATTATTTAGAGATGATTTTCGGAAGAGAGAAAACTGCATATACTTGCCCGACAGGGGGTGTCAGCATAGACAGGCATTTCGCTTCCTTTCTTACGGAATTCAAAGATTTCTAAAGATTATGCTGGTTTTTTTTTTTACTTCTCTGGACTGTCTTAGCTTTGATAATTGAGAGATTAGTTCTATGGGGAAGACCTGCAGCAATCATGGATTATAGATTTTTGAGTACATTTTTTTTTAATCACAATTGAGCTCTATGCAACTCAAAAAAATTATGAGAAATATATTAACGGAGAAAAACAAAGTATGCAGCTCTTGCTCTCTCATTTTCTTTCGTTAGATTTTGTTCCATTCTCACTTTTATTGCTGATTTTGCCACCGCCAATTAAAATACTGTACTCTTTGTACTCGAATGAACTGAAATTTAGATCCAATATAGCACCAACAAAGCGATGTGCATATAGAGGAAAAACTGCGCAAAAACAAAAAGCAAATCAAGTTGTAAATTCATATAAAAGCTGCTGTTAACCATAAAAATATTCAAGCGTGGGCTTCATTCATGCTTAAAACTGAATAATTTGCTGAACCACTCCACACACACACACACACTCCACTCCACTGGTTAGCCGAATGAACTGCAATTCTGAATATATATTTGAACAACATACTATTCATTTATCAACCACACGGCGCACACGGCCACTCGACACTCGTAAAAATTCATTAAAGCCAACAGCCAACGATTTGCCGCCGCCGCTGCCAACTCTGTTCGGTGTGTTACACATGTCGTATGAGTAATGCCCACCTAACAGACCTAAAAACATCATAAACAAGTGGGAACTGAACGACTGACCCGAACGTTAATTAGCAGCCCATGCAGAGGCAGAGGCAGAGGCAGCGGCAGGAAGGTGTACAAAAACGAGTAAATTCCAATAAAACAGAGCGAAAAATAAAGAGTAGAATATATGTACATATATGTAGATACATAGATGTATAAATATACATACATGTGTATAGATGTATTTGTGTGTGTGTGGCCTATATATAGGTCGCCGCTTGTGGTTTAATTAGTTGAGCCTCAGGACCAGAAGCCACAGCCACCAGCCACTCCCACTCCTACTCCTACTCCTACACCTCCCACTCCCCCACATTTAATATGTTACTCGCACGAGGAGAAGTTGTCTGTGGTGGCATCTGTTTTATTTGTTTTTGTCTGTTATATGTTTTAGTCAAAATGTTTAATCAAATGATTTTAATTACGAGCAAAAAAAAAGAAGAAAAAAAAAACAGAATTCGACAAACCGCAAAATTTCTATTTTTGGTGAGATTTTTTAAATGCAAAAAATGTTTTAAAAAATTGGATTTATAAATGCAGAAAAATTCGAAACGTTTACAATAAATTTTCAAGAAAAAAAAATAAAAAAGAAAGCTGAAGAGCAAAACAAATAAAATCCAGAGACGACACCGAACAGCTTGTGGCAGGATATGTGAACTGCTGATTGTGGGCTAAGGATTTTCCACTTGCGGTCAACAATCCCAACAGTGCCAGTCCAGCCTCAAAGCTCAAAGTCTCGTCTTCAGTCTCAGTTACCTCCGGTTCTCTGGGTGCTCTACGCTTCAGTGGAGGACTCCGGTTCGTAATGCGTTTTTAAGCAAGCAGAGCGAAAGACCCTGAAGCCGTACCCGTCCGGGGTACCCTGAGGAGTAGATCAAACAGGCAAATGATGTCCTGCTCCTTTTTTGCCTGCCTGCCTGCCAGGCACTTTTTGCGGTTGCTGTGCTGCGGGCCCAGAGACAGAGGGGCAGACGGGGCAGAGAGGCAATCCTGTTGCCAGTGGGGACCAAAACCTTCTTGTCTGTCTGTCTCTGCGTGTTTTTTTTCTGTTGTTAACTGGAGAACAGGAAACATTTGAAGAGTGAAATTAAATCAGAAAACAATTTAATTGAAATCAACACAAGGATCAGCGCAGAGAGTCAGCATCTGCAATCTGTTTTATCCTTTTTTACCCCACACCCCCACTCACACTTTGATTTACGTCAAGCAATAAAAATTCACTTTTCTTTGGTCTTTTCGCTGCTTTTCTCTGCTTTTTCTCATTGCCCCATTGACACCTAGAAATTAATCAGGCAGAGAGAGAGAGAGACACAGAGAAAATGAGCCATGGTTGTTCCTGCTTGGCCTAATCTTACGGTAATAACTCATCGGCCAAATGTCCGGGCAATAAATCGCAGCCGGGAAAAGCCCGTAGGACAAAAAACACTGGCAAAATTGTCGCGCTAATAACCGCAAAATGACAAAATGAAAACCAACAAAAATCAACGAAGGCCGATGGGCAATATTTTCCAAAAATGTGTTCGCTGCCATTCAGCAGCCACAACCCTTGAGGCGGGCAGGTGGACAGGCGGACAGGCGGACAGCCAGCAGAATGGGCAAATGAAAAGTCAAGTTTAATCTGGAACTGGAACTGGGAGCCTGGCTAATGTATTGCCTTTTTGGAGCGAACACCCCGAAGGGTCCTGGCTCCTGGCTGCTGGCTGCTGGATTTTTTATTTTTTATTTTCGGTTCCTGATGAGGCCAATCAGATCTGGATCTGTCGTTGCAAGGAAGCGGAATGATGTGGTGGGGTACTGGAATACGAGGAGGAGTCCTGCATCTATATACCTGGCGAAAAGTAGGCAAGCAACAGACAGCTGCTTTATGGCGGAATATAACGAAGGGCGCCCGCCAAGAGGAGGAACCACCTCCACGGTTGCCATAGGTAAGGTTAGGCGGCTGTGAGCTTCGGGGTTAAGGGTGTTTGGCTTTTGCTTTTGATTCTAAGCTGACAAGGGCAGGAACGGGGCGGTCTCGTTTTGCGGCGTGGGGTGTGTTGGGTGGTGTTGTTTCCGCTTCCGCTGCTGTCACAGCACACAAAAACCGCTTAAGTTTAGCTTAGCGTTTGCTCAACACAAAAATATGTACACAAAAGTGAAAAATTCTGAGCCCAGAAAAAAGTCATAGAAGCGTACAGTAGGAGCCTATTAGTGGTAGCACCGAGCTTGACATGAGGATCTTGTCAATCAACGAGGCACAAAAAGGTGGAACAAAAAGGTAGAACAAAAACGATGAAAATGTCAATTGGGAATTCGCTTGCAACCCAATCAAAGTAACCAAATACGAAGCTTGGCAGCTATGAAAATAATAATATAATAATAAAAATAATAATATAATATAATATAATAATAATAATAATATTAATAATAATAACAATAATAATAATAATATAATAATAATAATAGAATAATAATATATATATATACATATATACATATAATTATCTATCGATATTATGATCGATCCTAAACGAATGTCACCAATCTCCGATTAGCGTTTACTTCCATCGA